TCTGATGTAGAAGATCAGACTAAGCTGCAACTACAGAGCATACTCAGACAGAACTTTGACACAATTACCTAGATAAATCTTTTCTGATGTGGAAGATCAGACTATGCTGCAACCACAGAGCATACTAAGACAGTACCTTGGCTCTGATACCAATTGTTGCGGAAGCNACCAGAATTTACGAGGTTCGGCTAATTTTGCCTACTCCTCGGACACAACAAATATTTTATTCCACTCCAAAAATACAAGTGAAATAATACTAAAGAGAGAAGATACAAATGCCTTAAATAGATAAGAAGGCAAATGAGAGGTGTGTTTCAATCCTAAACATTAGGCCTTCTTTTATAGGGAGAAAATCCCCCCCAAACTTAACTCCCAACCAATGTGGGACTTTGGCATTTTGCCAAACTTTAACAAATCTCCACCTTGNGATTTCAACTATATATAAATATGAGTTGATGTTCAGCGATTGCTTTCATCCTTTTACATATATAGCAAAATTAAAATGAAGTTGTTAGTAACTTGCATTGCACTGTTTTTTAGTTTCACTCAGCAAGTAATTTCTCAATCGACCACCTATGATAATATGCAGATCGTATTACAATGGGCACCCACATTCTGTGGGAGGAATAAGTACTGCAACAATCCTGTTCCACAAAGTTTCACCTTGCATGGGCTTTGGCCGGCAAACAGTATTGGATATAGTCTACAATGTGCTCCACCTCCACAAGATACTAGCGTGGTCAGTATATATGTTCTTGAAAATACTTATTAGCATGTATAGTTGCCGTTTTTTGATGATTAGTACTAGTACATATATATTTTTTAACATATATAGAATTCAAAATTCTTCATATATGCATGTACTTACAGTGGACAACGGACAGACCGTTGCGGACAGCTCTTCAAAATTGTTGGTATAGTCTGATCCGGGGTCGTCCCGATTACATACTGTGGAAACATGAATGGAAGTATCATGGCTATTGCTCTAGCCATACAATAAAAGATACTGACTACTTCTGGGCTGCAGTACGCAAGTATGGAGAAAACACCAAGATTGTGGGCAAGGCGATTGTTGACAAACTGAGTGGTGAAGGAATCAATCCGTCAAATGATAAGGATTACAAAAAGAGTGCAATAACGAGTGCCTTGTCTGAAATTCTGGGCTTTAATTGTTGCGGAAGCCAAATGTATATAGTGTGAATAAGTCACAACTACTATACCAAAAAT